GTGTGGGTGTGGGTGTGGATGTAGGTGGGGTGTGGGTGTGGGTGTGGGTGGGATGTGGGTGTCCTTCTTCTCTTTAGGGCACTCACACCCGACCCACACCCACCCCCTCCCCACACTCACACCCACACCCACGCCACACCCCACACCCACACTCACACCCACACCCACACCCTCTTTTTCTTCATAAAACGAACAAAACTTTAAAAAAGTTCACAGTGCACTGTATGCATCAAAGTTTTCTTCAGACTCGGGCCCCATTCGGGCTCGGTCAAAACGAAATTTTTATACCCGGACCCGGTCAAAATGAAAATTTTTAGACATGGACCCGGATCTGGACCTGAGCGGGCCCGGGTCGGATCCGGGTCCTATCCGACGGACTCTAACCCACACTCACCCACCCACATCCATTATGGCGATTACGCTTCTTACGCCCATTACGCCCATTATGGCCATTATGCGCAATATGTTCTGTTCGCAATACAGTGCAAGAAAATGAGCTTCCGGGAAACTAATGGAAGGCACTGAATCGTGTGAATCATAATTTTACCAATTTTCCCACTTTGTCAAGAATTGAAAAATATCATGTACAATCATCTGGGGAAAAAACCAATTTTAATTCATTCTTTGTGTTAAACAGACAGTGTTTTTTGTGTATAAATATAATCAGGTAGCATTGCTTTGATCATTTTGGTAGAAGTTTCAGCTGGGTGAGTATGCGATTCGTTATTAATAGCATTTTGTTATTATACACTTCGTCTTGCATGTACTAGAAAATATGTTCAAATGAACTAGAACAAAATAAGATTTTGACGTAAGTAAAATTAACAAAAGATATTTTTGCATGGCATATTAATTTGTCTTTTTAACATTTCAGTACAAGCAGACATAGCTGAACTAATGCCTGTTAAAAGAAAGAATGATCGTGAGTATTTTTGCAATAACTCAAGAACGGGCGAAGCTGCATAGTTGCGGTTTTCATCAGTCGAAAGAGAAGACATCGAGACATCTTTTTTCTCCAATATTATATAAGAGGAAATCATTATAAAATCAACCATTTTTACAAAACATGGAAAAAAATGTACAAAAACGATCGTTCAGATCAAATTTTGACAAAAATTAAGGAAATTTGCTTAATAATTAAGAAAAATTCATATTTTTCCTGGGTCTAAATAGACAGTTCTACTGGCTTAACATTAGAATGTGTGAAGATAATCATTTGAATTATGTCTTAAACTATAGATCTGAAGTTCCTCTATGTACATCACATATAAAAAACAAAATTTCATCTGAATAACAGACTGTTTTCATGCATTTTTCCCAATGTTTCGCAGAAATGATTGATTTTAAAACGATTTCGCCTTATATAACATTGAAGAAAAAGACTTCCCAATGTTTCCTCCTTCGATTGATGAAAATTGCAGCTTTGTAGTTCTGTCCGTTTTTGAGTTATTGCAAAAATACCCACGACCATTATTTTTTTTTAACAAGGATTAGTTGTATTGCGTACACTCAGATAATCTGTGCGTCTTTTCATTGAACTTTATCATTGGTTTTTACTATTCATAATCTTTCAAGTCAATTAGTATTTGTTAGACTATTGGTTTTAATTCTTTTTTTATTTCTAGATAAAATTATTATTATTATGTGTTTGTTCAAACAATTATAGGTCTTATTAATAAGGTATGAAAAATATCGAAAATTGTACCGTAAAAACTAGGGCGAAAAATCATTATTTATTTTACCTTAACCAGAGTATTTGAATATCAAAAAAGTTCTTAAGAAACATGTTTTTTGTGAAGACATCTTAGCAACACCCCCACTTCATCACAGAGATGTTGGTAACTTCTTAATTTACGATGTAAGCAGTATAATCGTGTTGCACATTTTAATCCTGCAAAGATTACGGGAACAGTTTTTTTTTCTATGTAAAGGTGAAGAAAAAATCTAAATTCTTGCATAATGTTTTCTCTCAAATTAAAGGAGCAGATGAAATAAAAATCATGATCTATGCCAATTTCTTTCACTGGTGTTTGAAGAAGATTTCGCAAAACGCTTGACATTTTTTTAGTAAAAAAAAGCCTTTTGTTTAATTTTTGTGGGATTTTTTTGTGACTCATACAGGGTTGTCGATTATTTTTAGGAGTGGGGGGGATAAAATTTTGGCAGAAAACACTTCTATTCCTTCAAAAATAGTGAAAATTTCCCAGAAAATATTAAATATTTTTCGCAGAAAGTGTTAAAAATTTTGGCAGACAGCCTAGCATTTTAGGGAGGGGAAATCCCCCCTCATCCCCCCTAATCGGCAAGCCTGGACTCATACATTATTCATCTATGCTTAGTGATCAAAGTTGGATTTTTCTACATCAACACTTATACATAATTTGAACTTTGTTTTCATTCAGAAGAAATGGCTGAAGCTGAGATATGCACAATATGTCAAAGTCTTCTTCGAAATGGAAGTGACATTTTAATAACACACTGTCAACATGCATTCCATGCTGAATGTATTGCTACAAATGCTGATAAATGCACCAATAAATGTCCAAATTGTCGCGAAGCAATTCAATCATTTCGTGATAAATTAACGGGTTATGAAAACGAAAAAGATAAACTAAAAGAAAGTCTTATATCAAACGAGGTATTTCGTCCATATTATAAAATATTTTATTTTTTTTATTTGAATAACTTAGAATGATGAAGACAACTGGGGATGCCCGCTTTTCACATACAAAAATTCTCGAAACCTCAATATTTGTGAGCTATGTAACCAAGGTACTCGTTCTCAAGCAGAAGAAATCAAATCAAATGATGAAAATGAAGAATGCATTCAAAAAGAACGAGAATCTAAACTGCAGTGTGAAAGTCCCTTTTGTAATGCGCAAGATCCATCAAGCACAAGTCTTTGTGATAAATGCATTTCTCAAAAATACTCACATCCGTCGCCATACACTAATGTGTCAATGCCAGTAAAAAATAATCCAAGAAAGTCATATCAAATAGACTGGCGTTGTAAATCGTGCAATAGTCAAAATAATTTGACCGATAATGAACTATGTATCACTTGTCAGCAAGGTCATCGACCTAATCACGATGCATTTTCGTCAACTAGAGTTTCTGAACGTTCCAGTATGCCGCAAAACAATAAATCAACGATTAAACCAGGTAATATGTGAACTTGCTCAGCATTTTGTGGGACATCATCTAAAACAAGTGTCCAGGTATATGGTGAGAAATTTCGATTCCTTCTCACTGTCACTGACCGGGAATACATTCTATTTCGCGATGTTGAACATTGTGAAACCTGTTCCACGGAATTCCGAAAACTCGATCAACACTCAATACATAGACTTGATCGACGCTGATCAAGTTCTAGGAATTCCTGGAATTAGGCCAAGACGAAATAACTGGGTATTCTGTGGAACTGATTCCGTAATGTTGAACATTACGGAATAGGATAACTGCTATCCACTGCACGATTATTGTATCTCAGCTTGTGCAGCTAAAATGGACCATGCTTGGCCAAAAGTTGAGCAGAATATTTCTTGAACACAAGACGATCGAACTGATTCATTCGAAAATTTTTTAGAAGCTTTCGTATACTTTCTACCGATATACGTCATTTATTTTGGATGACCACAAGAATGACTGGTAGTCACCAGCCAAAATCAAGCATTTTTTCATGAAAAAACAATGAAAACAGAGTCATCTTGCTTTCGTCATATTTCGAAAACTATCATATCATTCGAAAAAGTGTAAATAATAATAGTATCATCGAAGGTTGAACTACAGTTTCAGATTACTGGATCACGTGGTATTGTGGTAAAAGCTGTAAAAATTAGCTTCTTAGCGGAGTGCAAAAAATCCGACGAGTACATTACCACGTTCTGAATGCGTTACCATGTTTTGATGATAACTCTTTATAGAAACAAATTTTCAAAGAGAAGTGTCTTACCATCGTAAGGACTGTTGTCTTAGTCATAAACACAAATGAAACATTTCGTTCAGAGTGAAGAAATTTTTAGGAATGTGAGCTTTTTTGAATCGCTCTGATGCAAAGATCCTTTTGATTGAGTGCGTTACCACAACGTTCTACCCTTCTAGAGTTGTCACAATTCGACCAAATGAAATGAAAATTATAGTAGAAGTAGAACATTCATATGTCTTGTTACAATGTAGGTTTTAGCTCTTCGTCACCTGTAGTTATTGCGTTATGACAACCCGAAGGTCCAAAATGGGTGGGTCCGTTACCTGTGGACAATCTGATATCACAATTGAATTCTACAGCGATATAAATAGATTGCAGTTTTCGTTCTTTTCTGCATCTACTATAACTAGAGACCTGTGGAGTCAACTTTTTGTCTCCAAAACTCGATTGCGACTCCAAAAAATTTCTTTTCCGTGAGTTTCTTAATGTGTAAAAAACCTACATTTTTACTCCTAAAAACGCGTTTTTGTTACCGAATTTTATCTTCCTGGAATATTCTTTGTCTGAACAATCAAAATTTGCTGATAGAGACAATTGTAGTACTTTGAATGATATTAATATATATTTTCTGATTAATATTGTTATCGTTTCATCTTACTTAATCATTCGAGTGTTATAACTGAAAAATGATTCACTCATTTTTTTTATTCTACAGTTCATTATTAATCTATAGGACAGGTATGATCTTTTATTGTTTTTTTATTCATTAATACGAAGAATGAAGTTTTGGTAAACTGAAATCAACGCAATAGGGGGCGGTTACAAGTTCGACTTTGACTCTGGCGGAGTCGAAGTTAGCTTTCAGAGTCCAATACAAGTCTCCAACGGTGACTTATTAGAATGAGCATTGACAGTCGGTTATAATTCACCAATTGAAAGAGATACACCAAATTTCCTTGTTTACAATATAAGCAGCTTTATTGGGTTCGCATATGAATCTCGCAGGAATTATCTTAGTAGGCTTTTTTACTTATCATAAACAGAGTTTTACGAAGTCGTTAGAGAAAAGTAATCGAATCAAAAGATTCTTAAAGAATATATTTAAAGATGTGATTAGACAGCTGCGGACCCTTGTTTTTGTGGACTCGGTATGAACTCGGACCTAACCAGATCTGGAAGGGCCTGCAGCTCTCTAGACCTCAGCTTATGCAGAGATCAACGGCGACGATTGAGAGTTTCTCCAAAAACTCGCTTGCAGCAACAAATAACTTTTTCGATTTGTGCCTTTCATAATGGCGAAGCCATGATGTAAAGGAATTACAAAATAATTCAAAATTCATATAAAATCAAGGCGGAAACTTCAATTAAAGTTTTGTTCGATTTTCCAATATAATTTTCATAGTTTTTCAACAAATATTTCTATTTTAATTTCTATCAGAATTCTTATTTGTGATCTATTATTTTCTATAAGGACATGACAGGATCTAGCTTTATATTCGTGTAATGTGTGTTTCCTTCTTTATACTCAGTCAGACGATGCGCCCTTCATGTGTGTTCGTGTTTTCGCCCTCAACCTCAGCCAGATGAGACGGCCTGTGTGTTTCCTCTCTCATTTTCATCCTAGACCCTGGTAAATTGAATTTTTTTATAATTAATTTTTTTGAATATATTTGCAATTCATTTACATCATCCAGTGATAACGTCAGATCATTTAAAGTGCACTGATAGTTTTACTCATAATCACGCTTCAGCTATTTTTCCTGCCACTTGTTGAAATACATATAAAAATCAAGATTTCATGAAGTTTCATATCCAACAATAAATATGTATATAATATAATTATTGCAAGTTTATTCAATGAAATAATCATCATCAGAATGTTAGGATCTCCATTATTACTATCCTATACTTCTGTTTACGCTGATCATGTAAGCCAAAAGATAATAATTTAAGACTCCTAGTCTGTATAGAGCTAGAGATTTCTCACGCAAAGGAAACTATCTACCTTAGTAATATAATTGGTAGTATAGGGATGATCATACAAGTATAGGTAATTCAAAGTTTATTGCTACTAATAATGATAATAATAAGCACACGAATAAGTGGAAGAGGTAACAAGAGTACTTGGAAAATAGTCATAGTAAAGTTACAATGACTAAAAGTAGAGAAAAATAAGTTTATAATAAGTGAGGGAAAGAGAAAGCGATGTTATTCAGATGAATGATCGATAACAACTGCATTATAATAATAGCTAGTGAACAATATATAGAAAAGAGAGAAAACATAGAAAAAGAGAAAAGAAGAACATGAACGACAATCTGATGAATTATATGTGAGAGGAAGGAAAAGACAAATGGCCAAAGACCAATAGCTAAATTCGTTAGCGGTAACATAGTGCCATCTGTTAACGCTGACACAGAATTCTCAAATAGAAACTGCTTAAATTGTTTGGGGAGCAATTTGCAAATTCAAAACAGTGCAATCAAACAAGGCTCTAGACATAAAATAGGCACGAATGTGTGGGAATAAGTAACTGTTTTTGAGTAATATTATAAAGACGTATGATAACATGAAAATGTTCAATATTTGAAATTAAATACAACCTGGAAAATCAACCAATGAAACTAAAATATTTAGATTCGTCAAATTCTAAACACACAACTATTGGATCCTACGAAAATCCATCTTTTATTGGAGAACAAAGGAAAACACAAAGCAACAAATCAAGTCAGTATCAAATAGTGATCTACAAACGCTTTGCAAGTTGTTTATATTTCTAGTGACTAAAAATGAAAATCTTTCAAGTCAAACAGCAATAGATGATAATGAAGACTCTTCACCAGCAATTATATATATTCCAGATCTACCGGCTGATAAATCTGATACTGATCTTGAACAAGCTATACGTTCACGTTTACAACAACTTTATGATATCCAAGTCTCGAAAGTGCAATGTTGTTCACATTTAGGTGTTGCTGTTATTCATTTACACAACCACAAAAATAAAACTTTTCTAGTTGATGTATTGAAAAGTATTTCATTATTTCCCAATGATCATATTAATGTGACTTGTGCTGATAAATTGGAAGTAACATCCTACATAGTTTTGGATCAAAATCCAACACCACCCAATATTAATATAGTTGCACAACAATGGATAGACCTATATCCTTCACCACATCGACCACAATTTCAAACATTATCAATACAATTTCCAAATATAATAAAAGTCACATCATTTTCTATTGAAGAGTTGCAAGCCGTCACCAAATATCGAGTGTTTCAGGTTGAAGATCAATTAGCACATATCTACACTAATGTTGATTGTAGTTATCTTGAAGAATTACCTTATTTACAACCAAAATTAGATAATAATCGATTATTTTGTTTTATTGCAACACAACTTAAGATGTCGGATCGTGCATATGCAGATAAAGATACATGTCAACAACAAGCTGACACTCTTTTTCAACAAATACAATCACTTCCTCCGGCTATGAAAGAATTAAAATTGAAGTTTTATATTCAATACAATGAACAATCTTCAAATGCACTTATTCTTGCTTCAAATTCCTTACATAAATGGATATCAATGAAGTTTATTAATATAAATGGACAATTAATATTCAAATCTGTTAATATTGCTAGTAAACTAATTATTAAACCAATACCTACTGGATTTTCACATCGTTTAATATTTGATCATCCACTTTTCAAAAACTCTATTAAGGAAGATATTGCTAAATTAAGTGGTGAATGTCTTGTTGTTGAAGTAAATGATAAATGTGTTTATGATGAATGTTTGAAGAGACGTGTTTTTGAAGTGAACTTTAATGGTGATCGCTTACCATTACGTATACTTCCATATACTACTCCAGATGATCCTGATAATACTGAAATCAATGTCCAGCATTGGTATGGCACAAAAATGTTTAATTTTAAACCTGATATAACACAATTTGATTCTCACCATCCCATATTTCGATATAAATGGAATTCAAAAATTTGGCTTGATCAATTCATGAAAAATAAAACTAAATCTGAAGGAATAAGAGATGAAAATGAACGTCGTCAAAATGATTTTATTCAACGTATGCTTCGTGTTACTGTCATGTTAAATACAATGGCAGCAGTGCGAAAACACAAGTTTATTCTAGAGGATTCATCAACAAAAAGTGAAGTACTTATTGAACATGATTCTCCATTAGTTACTATTGTATATAATCATCAATCGAAATTGACAAAAATTGGTGAAACATCAACACCACCATATAGTTGCACGACTGTACGTGTAGTAAATGAAGATTGTATCATATCATATAATACACTTGTTTCATCTGGTATGAAACCAGTTCTTTTGAATATGGCTAATGCAAAAACACCTGGTGGAGGATATCAAAAAGGAGATGGAGCTCAAGAAGAAAATATTTTTCGTCGTTCAAATTATTATAGAAGTCTTGATTACAAATTAGATCAAGAGCAAATTCAATCTACTAACAATATAAGAAAATATTGTTCGCCTACAGGTCAAGTGGTACCGTTCGACGTTCATCAATCATTATATCCAATAGATGAATATGGAGCTATTTATAAGGTGCGGACAATTCAAAATTTGAGCACTCTTCATTTTTAGCTTA